AGGACCCCCCTTGGGTCCACCCATGGGAATAATTGCATATGTGGTCTCAAACTTTTTTTTTTTTACAAATTACACCAAAATCTTTTATTTGTACCACTTACAATCTCAAACCTTTAAAACTTTATTTTCTTTATCTATAAAGTTTGGCCATTTCTTCCCCAATTAAAAAGAAAAAAATAGTTTTATACATTTGGGATTGTGAATGGTACAAATAAAAGATTTGGGTGTAATTTGTAAAAAAATAAAAATTTTGGGATCACACTTACCATTATTCATTTTAACTTTGGCCATTTTTTATTATTTTGAACGCTGAACTTAACGAAATTGGATGGTAGGGAATGGATCATACTTCAAAGATGATACAATGGGTTTTCCGCACCTCAAGTTTCATGCAGAATGTTTTTCGCCAATTCCAAAAAGTGAGGGTATTGCACAATGGATCTACAAGATGGAGGTATTGCGCGAATACGTTATTTTTAAAAATAATATTTCAATTCGTCATGTTTTGTCTCATCGTGACTTCCAATTTTGTTTTCCATGCAGCCTAGTTCATAGGTATTAATATAATTCTTATATTACCTTTGCTTTCTTCTGGTCATCACTTTTGCTTTTGACTCTTACATATCTGGAATTGTTTTTATATCTTGTGTCTTTTGATAAAGATGATAATTTAATTTCATAGAACACCAAATATGAACTGATCTATATGAGCACAAGGAGTCAGTTGTCAAAAAAAATTAGTTCCTAATTATTTGAGGAAGAAATGGAGTTTTTATTTATTTTTAGTACTTTGCGTTAACATGTTTTTTTAATTAAAATCAAAGTTATAAAATATCGTTGTTGAGATTTTCCAGACATTTTAGCGCTGCTCTAAACAATAATAGATTTTTTAGGTAAATTTCATTCGCAATAACTATACCTTCACTTAGTATTAATTAGGTAATCCTACTTTAATTTTATTCAATCGAGTAACTACACTTTTTGATTTCAATCGGGAGACTCCATTTTAATTTAATTTTGACTAGGTGACTACATTTTGATTCGATTTCAACTAAGGTAACTTCAACCAACTCCACCAACATAAATTGATGATGTGACAGTCAATAAATATGATTATTACTTCTAAGAATTAGTTGCTCTTATGAAATAAGTACGATTTTAATGAAACAAATGATGACCATCAATAAATAAGATTATTACATCTAAGTATTAGTTGCTTTCGTTTTCATTTCGTATGAGGATTGAAAATAAATACTTTCGAACCCTAACAATCAAAATAAAGGTAAATTAATTTATATAACCAATTGAAATGCAACTTACATATGTCAAAAATATAAAAATCAACACGTAAATCTTTAATTAAAGAAAAAGTACATTTGGACTGCTCATTCTCATAACTTTTCCCCGGCTTTAATTTAGTACTTTTCCCTTGTAATATTTATATGTTTTTTATTCAAAAGAAAGCTTGGTTTTGAACCTGTAGAGAATCTTCTTCTTCTTTGAAGTGGGATTGTCTAGAGTCAAAGCTACTTTCCCAGGCTCTTCAACTTTAAAGCTATCAGAAATCACTTGTTCTTGAGTTGAGGAAATTTTTCTCATTTTCAGTATTACCACTGTGTATTCATCTTCTGCACTTGGAACAAATTCAGCACCATAGCTTACATCCCACCCCACCACTGTTATCTCCCAGCTCACCAAGCATGCCTCCTAAAAATCAAATATAAATTGTTACGTAAAAGCAAGAATAGACAATAGAAAAAATAAGAATAAGAACACACAAATTTACGTGGAAACCTTAGACGAAAAAAAATCACGAACAAAAAAAGAAGAAAAGTCACTATATCAAAGACGAGTACAAGAGATAAGTGTTTTAACGGTTACTCCAAATAATAATGCAATGAAACCCTAATATATATATATAAGCACTAGGTGGCGTGACACACTACAATAATAATGTATGTGTGCGAGATAACAATAAAACAATTACAAACTGACATCCCAAAAAATTCTCACAATTTTAGTTGAATTTTGCTACCTGTACATAAAAAATGTACATAATGGATTACATAATATGATTTAGAGGAAAAATATTGGATGAAAAAGTTGATTATGTTTTAAACTGACAAATAGTATAGTGACACGTGGCATCATATAATCCATTATATAAATCTTAATATACATGTAGTAGATTCTATTTTAGTTTTACCACGTGTCGCATCGTAAAGTTTTTGGGTCAAGCCAAACAGAACTCGAGTCATCGTACTCTAATATAAATGATCACTCAATTAATATTGAGTACAAGAAACAAAATTAGATAATTGTCTACCCGTTTGTTGCTCTTTTAGATAGCAGTGTTGATTTCTTTCTTTCTTACTATTTTTTTTTTTTGGTCAAACGCATCAAAGATGGAATATTAATTAAAACTAAAATAACAAGAAAACTTATAGGTGACTACTAATGGATGCAAGTATATGTATTACACAAATGATCATAAGATACATTTGATTTTTAATTAGAGATAAGAAGAAACAAAACTCACAATCTCAGATCCAAGTTAGTGATTAGAAATTATTCAGAGTCAAATTAATAAATTTACCAAAGGATAAAGTTATTTGAAGAGGGCCTTCGTGGCTCTGTTCAAACAGGGGGGGAAAAGCATTAATTTAACACAGACAACTGTTTACATTCATCCATGGAGACTATGATCATAACACGACTCACCTGATTGACAGGAAATTCCACAATGTGCTTGGCTGAAGGCCTTAAGATAATTTCAGTAACTGAATCAGCTGTTCCAAAATCACCATCTTTGCTTAACCCTCCATACTGTGTTGGAACTTGCTCGGCAGCTATGTATCTATTGTACATGCCAATGAGTAGTAAAGTAAGCAAATATCAAAAAATATAAATGCAGGATTCACGTATTCTTTACTGGTAAATTTAACTTAGCACTGACTTGAAAAGGGTTTCTGTAGATTTTGAAGGTCCAGCAACAACAAACTTGCTTTTGGTCCTCTGAGTTAGAAAAGGACTGATCATTTTGTTCAATGCTAGATACCACCATGGTACATTGATGAACACCTAAAATCATGCGAGGTAAATACCAAATACTTAAATTCAAACTAAAGATTAAAATCAAAACAAACAAATAATCTACCTGTTTGGCAACAAATTCAGGATAATTGTCTTGAAACAGTTGAAGGGCTTGTTTTGTGGCCTGCCTGAGCTCCCGTTTATTAGGCCCAGGCGAGTTCTTAAGATCGTTAACCTGAATAATCGTGGATACGCCATAGGAGCTGAAATCCAATTTCCTGATGCTCTTTTCTAGGAACTGAATTCTCCATCTCAAGAATTTTTGCCTCTTTTGTTCGTCAGAAAATGTTCTCTGATAAAGCTCTTTGTTCTGAAATTCTCCGTAGACGTTGTAGCATACAGGATTGCCTTCTTTACTACAACCATGCATGAAAACTACTCTCTCCAAGTCAGTCCCAAAGTCTTCTTCAAGAAGCTGATCAATCCCGAATTCTTTTCTCCATCGTAGAGTGTTCTTGATCATGGAAAATGCATCCTTGACCTTGAAGTCTCGGGCTCGCAAAAACTTCAAGAGAATTACATCACTTTTTTCATCTTCCAGAAGCTTTACACCCCAGATGTATAATTCATCAACCTGCTTTAATGAAGATTGAGGCGCGTTTGCATTGCATAAATTCACTGCATCCTGTGGTTTTTCTTCTGAAGGAATTGGAGCTGAAACTGCAACAATGGTTTCTTCAATGGCTTCCACAGTTTTTGCACCATCATCATCCACAACAGTTTTTTCATTTTTCTCGATTAGATCCTCTGGAATTGAGTCTTTTTCTATTTCCTCTTTTGAATCTTTCTCAACTTCAGGCTCGACATTTATAGGCTTTTTATCCTCCTCCACCATGACCGGATTTGTTTCTTCTTTCGGAGATGAAGAAATGCCAAATTCATGCCTGTTGAGTGCTTCTCGAACAAGCTGTTTCAGCTCTTCTAATGCTTTCTTTTCATTTTCTGAAAGTTCAGACGAAGCATTAGTTATCTCTTGCTTGACAGCATCAGCTTGAGGAGGTTTCTCTTCATTATATACAATCGTCAATGTCTCCAAATTCACACTCTCACCGCAAGCGTTTGAATTTAGTGGCATTTCGGGTTCGGGAACTAAAAGGGTCTCTTCCATTGCGGGATTTTCGGGTTCTGGAACATCGATGACAACAACAACTTCTGATTCAACGCATTTTGATTTTTCCTGAGCTGTCTTTTGAACTTCCTCAGCCATAATTTTTCTAGATCTTATACTAAATATCTGTGTTTTGTATGTGTGTGTGTGTTTGGGAAGAAGAACGGAAGGGGTTTTATAAACTTATAATAGGATGATTGGTGGTGGGGTGGGTGGGGTGAGAGGACCAGTCTGGAAAGGAAACTCAAAACTGTACAGCTTTGATTCAGATTTTTCTTTCCTCTCCTTTATCTCTTTTTCCTCATATTAGGGACCCATAACAATCTGTTGCACTATACGGTGTTCAACATAGATGGCCTACATAATCCTATGTATATTTAGGTGTAATTTTCCTTTCTGCTTTCTCTTTCCTTATTTTTTTGTTAATGTTCATTGTCGGCCTCAATCCTAGCAAACAAAGATGATAACGATAAACTTTAAACTTTCTCGTTGGCTTAGTTTTTAATATTGCAACCAAAATGCCGAGTTATATGGATTGTGTTGGTAGGATTAGAAGTCCCGCCTGACATCCAAGCCCGTGGAATATAAGTGAAGCGAATACATTATTGAATGAAGGAGATGGTGAGAAAAGTACCATAGAAGTTTTCCAAATGTTCTTATGAATAGTCCTTTCAACATTTTTTCATCCATCACTTGGTCTCTTTCCATTTGAAAACTATCAATTTCAATGATATGGCTAACGAAATTGTTAAAATTTACAAACTTAAATCCTGATTACGGATGGAAGACAACGGTAATAGAACAGTAACTATTGAGGAACGACTTCAAAAGCATAATCATTATTTGGAGAATTTTAAAGCTCAGTGACTATTAGGAAACAAGTTTAAAACAATCAAAAAAATTTGAAGTTCTCTCAGAGTTGGAAAACAATGTTGAAAGTAGCTTGGATATCAAGATTTTTTTACCAATTGAAAGTGTGTTGAAATAATAGTGTGTGAGGTGTTTTATTCTTGTGCATTTCTATAATTCTATTTATGCTAGACATCAATGTGGTGTTTAGTTTTAGGTAGATTAGTGTACACCAAAATGATTCATCATTATTTTTCTCTGTTCTTTTGTTAAATTAAAATTTATAGGGGCCTAAATACTTTTTGGTTGGATTGTTGATTACAGTGACCTAAAGTTTATGTTTCAGATTATTTTTGGGCCCCAAAGTTAATACCATAATGCTAGTGGATGAAGCATGGCAGACAAAATAAATCAAAAGGAGTAAAAAACAGGATCTCGTAAAATGGTCCCATATGTGTCTTTAAAAATAAGGGATTATGAACGAAAATTCTAAATGGGGTTGGAAGAGTGTTGAAAAATAATTTATTAAATTAATATATTAAAGCAATATATTTAACTTGAATAGAATTGTAAAAACAATTCATAGATTTCAAGTCTAGTCAATTTTATATTGTATTTGAATTGGTTCAATTCCATAGTCATTTTGCGATTACAAATTCATTCATGGCTGTTGTAACATTATTTGTATTAAATAAAAAAATTAACTTACAGTCCGTTTGACATACCTTTTGAAAAGTCAAAAGAAGCTTTTGGATCCATTTGACTAATTTTATGAGTGTTTTTAGAAGTTAGAAGAACTTTTAGAATAAGTTGGTCCAATATGACTTCTTTTAAAAGCATTTTCAGAATAAGTTGGTCCAATATGACTTCTTCTAAAAGCATTTTCAGAATAAGAAATGTTTTTAAAAATTAGTTTCCAAATAAAAATTAAGACAACTTCCTCCAAAAACTCTTCTACTGGAAGCAAAACGGGCCCTAAAATTTTGAAACCTCCCATAGCCTAATACTATATAAGGAGGTGTTGTCCTCCTTATTCTTCACACAAAAAAAATTTCAGAATTCTTTATTCACTCTAAGTTTCTCTCTTCTCTTTGTTTCAAGAGTTTAGTTCTTAATAACTTAGCCAGTTTAGTTCTTTGTTTTAACTTACTGATAGAATTGTAAGCATTCTTAATTTGCTTAAAGTAGTGACAAGGTGCTAGTCATCTACTTTCAACCTTTATCTATTGGAAGATAGATATCATCAGTCCTCTTGCACCATAATGGGAGCCTAATCTGTCTTAAAAAAACTATGTACAACATAGGTCTCGGTTCCTTTCATTATCGCTACTAGCTCAACAACCATTTCCTCTAATTTTATTGTTACTCTGTTTATTGTAACGTTTCATTCCATTATTATTTATACAATTCCAGCAGTATTTTTAATTTCATTTTTGTATTTTTCCTAACATCTTAAAATAGATTTAACTCTAACAAAAAAGGAGGTGCTGAATTTTAAAGATTATTGTATATAATATTCTCTTCAAAATTTATAAAATCTTGAAAACTGAAAGTTATTATACTGAGAAGTTTTATCTAGGAGGCTGGGTTTTAAATGGGACCATTTATAACCCATCCGACCACCTAAGAACTGAATATTTTCTAAGGAGGCTGGACTTGTTGAGGCCGGGCTTAGACCCTTCTAGTCTTCTTTAAAAATTACTTGTACAGTGATATGCGATTATCGGGAAAAAAATGGCCTGTTTGAAAATAAGCACTTTTTTTTTTAGAAAATTAGCATATTTTTGGTATTGAGTAAATAGCATAATTTTCAAACTGTTTAAAAAATAACATAATTTTCAAGTAAAAAATTAGCATATTTTCGTAATTGTTTGAAAAATAGCATAATTTTGAAATTAACGCAACTTACTAAATATTTCAAAAAATGGCAACTGAATCAACTAACATGGATATAACTTAGACTGTGGCTACTAAAAATTGGGTTGTGGGATCTACTGTTGCTCAAGAGCCAGCTCTATTGTGGCTCAGACTGTGACTAAATTGTCAAGCTATGTTGTGGGCCAAACTTTGGCTGACCATACCGTAACTATTCCGGTAATCATGGGGAAAAATCGAAGAAATTCAATGAGTTGAATTTCAAGAGGTGTCAGCAAAAAAATGTTTTACCTTACCACCGTGAATCATGCGAGATTCTTGACTGAGATGTCCCAAAACTCAATGAGGGTGAGAGAGATGTCCAAACAATCAGCGCACTTGATGCTTGGAACCATTCGGATTTTCCGTGCCGAAATTACATTATGAATAGCTTAGCAGATTTGCTATACAACGTGTATAGCACTATGANTGATGCTTGGAACCATTCGGATTTTCTGTACCGAAATTATATCATGAATAACTTAACGAATTCACTATACGACGGGTACAATACGATGAAAACTGCTAAGGAGTTGTGGGAGTCGTTAGACAAAAAATATAAGACTAAGGATGTTGGGTCGATTCTTAGATTATAAAATGGTGGACTCCAAAACTGTAATCAATCAAATGCAAGAACTCTAAGTGATTCTTCATGAGATTCATGCTAAAGGAATGAACTTGAATAGAACTTTCCAAGTGGCTACAATTATTGAAAAGTTGCCTCCGGCATGAAAAGATTTCAAAAACTACCTAAAGCACAATTGAAAAGAAAAGAACATTGAAGAACTAATAGTTAGGGTTCAAATCAAAGAAGACAACTGAAGTTTAGAAAAGAAGGGGTTCAATCTTGGTGTGGCTAAAGCCAATGTTGTAGAACATGATCGAAGTTTAAGACCTATAATATCAAGTCTGGGCATCTGATGGAAAAGGACTAAGCTGGACCAAAAGGTGGCATTTCCAAGAAGAAGTTTCAAGGAAAATGATTCAACTATGACAAAGTAGGCCATAAGTCTTCGAAATGCAGATTGCTAAAGAAGAACAATAAGAAAGAATCCAACGTGGTACATGATGTACCGGAGATGAATCTCACAGCCATCGTTTCTAAAGTGAATATGGTGGATTCAAACACAAAAGAGTGGTGTATTGACACCGGAGTTGCGAGGCATATGTGCTCCGATAAAGAGCTGTTTATTGAGTTTGGAGCAATTGTGAAAGGACAGAAGTTGTTCATATGAAATTCAACAACTTTTGAAATCAAGAGTCAATGAAAGGTGGTTCTGAAGATAACTTTTGGGAAAGAGTTGACTCTCAACAATGTGTTGTATGTACCAAAAATTCGTAAAAACCTAGTGTCCTGGTTGCTTTTGAATACGCATGATTTTTGTATTGTGTTTGAGTTAGACAAAGTCATTGTCTAAGAATGGAATTTTTGTCGGAAAGGGTTATACTTTAGATGGTATGTTTAAATTGAATGGAATGATTGTGAAGCCCAAAATTAATAAAGTTAATTCTTATGCTTACTTGCTTGAGTCCTCCAGTTTGTGTCATAGTAGATTGAGACATGTTAACTATGATAATTTACATAAATTACTTAACTTGAATTACATACCTATGTTCCATATTAATTTGAAACATAAGTGCGAACCTTGTATTGAGACAAAATTAACAATGTCATATATAAAACCACTTGATTTAATTCATAGCGACATGTGTGATTTAAAATTTGTATAAACAAAAGGTAGCAATAAGTATTTAATTACTTTTGTCGATGATAACACAAAATACTGTTATGTGTAT